TGAGGATTATGCATTTATGTAAAGAAGTGAGTTCTCAAAAAAAATACTTTATCTATTTGTTCTTACAACGGTAGAAATAAGATAAGCGTTTTCACATACTGCACATTGATTATTCGAACTCAGTTTCCTATAATTACAAGAATTTTTGCCAATAAACTAAAGGCTGAAACTACTCCACCATCGAGTTTCCACGAATTTCGTTCAACCTAACATTGCTCCCATCGAATTTATTTTACTGGAACTGCTCGGATGATAGGTGCCTAAGAGACTTTATTTGACAGCAACCGGAAGAAATTGTCGCCTATTTTGGAGGACGACGTGGAACTGTTGTAATCGATATGAAGGATATCGATCTGGAGGATAGAAAGCTCAAGGAAGACCTCAGTTACAGATTCTCAGAATAAACTAATGTAAAATCAACAATAAATGCTTCATCCTCTTCATTTGTTTCCACTGCTAGTCTAAGATTAAATAGGTGAACTAAAGGAGTAGTAAAGCCTGATACGCAACTAAGCGGTAAGGTGAGACCTGATCAGCATTTTCTTTGCATATGTTGAATTACAATTAGTAAGGTGCAATAAGGTGTAATCACGAGTTTAATAGGCATAAATTATATGCTGCCACACCCATCTGTCTTTGCAAAGCTGATCACTGCACTGAAGTGGTAGACATATACACCGTTGTAGAATACTCCCTGGATTACCAGTTGTAAGAGTTTAGGAACGCTTTTTCAAAAAAATTTTGCTTCGTCATCTCATATCCTGAAGTTTCAGTGTTTGTTGCCATCATCTTATAAACCAGTGCGATTTGTAAATGTTCATCTACTTTTACTTTACTCATTTTTCTACCATAGCTGCATTATTTCCTTCGTTCACTTGGTGTTTAAATGCTATTTCACTGATTGCGGACTTAGCAAATTTCCCGTCAGGTGAAATGATCTGGTCTGGGGGCTACTCCATGTGCACCGACTTCACATGATGCCGATCCCTCCGTCATAATATAAGGATACAATGTCAGCAGAAGGATCACGGTCATTCGAGATTCTGCGCAGATGAACTGAGCGAGAGTTTTCCTGATGGGTCATACGAGAGAAATAGTGTGTTTTATGAGAGTCCGTCAGGGGAACCCGTAGCTTGGAATCAACTTAAGAGTTCCCCTGACATAGAAACTGAGCAGGAAAAAACGCGTGCAGCTCCTCCCAGAATGTCGTTCAGCAGATATGGAAAACAGATTTGGGATACATTTTTGATAGAGATTCTTATGGTATACGTCTTTTGGCGGATCGCCACTGCGACTCCCATCCTTCCCTTGTGAGTCTATATAGTAACCGTATCTAGAGTTGCGGTAAAGAGCCTCCATTATTAGTTATAAAGACTGGAAAATGGCTTCTTAACAAGGATTGAGAAACTGATTGAGCTTAGCGTCAGTAGGCATTGCAAAGATGAATAGAAATGAGGGATGGAATTAACTATTTTGAGATCGATTTCCCAATAGTAGCTTCAATAAGATGACTTTGAGACGGGCAATGCACTCGAGTATTCTTCTGAGAACCCAAGTATCGAGAAAAAACCATCAGCAGCTGTCTGTGGTTATGAGAATTGCCCTAAGTTCTCACTTCTTGATTTGTAAATAAAAAGTCAGTTCAAGTCTTCAAAATGAAGAAAGCACAACGTTTATCTGAAACCACGCACCTTTAGAGCGTATAAATCGGCAAAAGCAAAAACTCTGCAAACTGCTGAGCGTTCTTTAAAGCTTCATTTCAATACAGTGAGCCACGACGATTGCGTTTAACATGTCGATCTCGACGATTTGTTAAGCCAATGCGTGCGTCCCAAACACTTATAGCCGAAAGGGTTTAAAACGTTATGATGTTTGTGCGAGCGCTCACCATTTGCACATAGAGAGCGAGTAATTGCACGTTGCTTTGCGCGTGATCATCGGGTAAACGACTTTCGCATAC